TCACATGACGTAATTGGTGATGATTGAATTATTAATTAACGTGATTATTTTCGATTGATAAAACATCACATATTTTACAAATTTATTAAAAAAATTTGATTTTCCTAACTATCCTTTTTAAAAAGGGAAACTAATAAAAATAACTTAACAATAAAGACAAAATAAATGATAAAGTAAATAGTACCATGATTGACTTTTTAGTATAAAAATGTGATTTTTCGTTAAAGTGAACAGTACCGGGAGCTTTTCGTTAAAGTTCCCTTTTTAAAATACAACAAACACATTATCTCTATTAATTAATGAAATCCTGTTTGTCAACCAAAAGAGAGTGAAAAGACTACTTAGTCTTCTAGCACACAAAAAAAATGATGGACAATAACGTAATTTCACATGTCTAAATTTTACTTTTTTTTTATTGAAACCTAACCTATCGGTAATGTTAAAATACCTCCAATATTAAAAAAAATAAAAAATAAATAAACCTTCCACTCCTCCCACGTTCTCTCTCCCTCTCTCCTTCTCATTTTCTTAAAAACATGTGTTCATACATATAAAATGTGTAAGCAACTACTAGTATGGATTAATGTAATAGCATAGACCAAATAATACATGAATAAAAAAAACCCAAATACATTTCATTCTCATTGACCCAAATTGACTGACCAAAATTAACTAATCACAATTAACTCTCTCTTTCTCTCTCTCTCTAAATACACTGGTGAGCAAAAACTGGAGAGAGAAGGAGCTTTCACTCCTGAACGATCGCTAATCGGCAGTCTAACATTCCCTGGAATCCAATTCCGCGCCCCCAATTCTCACAAATCCCAAAAACCGAAATCCAACGTTCTCCCTCATTTTCTCGCGAAATCAGGTTCCCGCGGGATTTCGATCCAATCCGCCGCACGGCGCTTCTCAGTCTCCGATTAGAGGCGGAGCTGAGGACTGAGAACGGAACCTTAAGGCGGTGGCGACGACGACGATCGGATCGATCATGTCGTCCAAGACTCTACCTTACTCCAAGAAAGATGTCCACTACGACAACGCCAAGTTCCGCCATCGCTCCTTCTTCAAGGTCTTCCATTCCTCAGCTCTCTTCCATTTTCTCCAACTCCGATTCATGATTGATCGCGATTAGTTATGCAAATTGATTGAATTTAGTGTCTTTTCATAGAACCTGAAATTCCAATTTTCTTACATTCTGGAGATTAATGCATTTATGATGCTCCCTGTTTTCAAATTTCATTTTTCAACTTTCAATTTGCTTATGGACGAATTTAACAGCTAAATTTATGAACATAATCACATTTAAACCATTATTTTCTCAAATTTTCATATCTCTGTTGTAAATTCTTTTGCTTTCTAGTTATCCTGTTAAACCAATTAAGTTTCTGTTTCTAATTATCCTGTTAAACCAATTAAGTTTCTGTTTCTTGTTTCCCAGGTGATAACTCAAAACTTGCACACCAGTAACGTAAAGAATCATTGTATGAGTTGTAGTACGGGAAAGTTTCTACTTTTACTAATGATATTCGGTGTAGCGTATCTTATGCTCACACATACAAGTCCCACCACTGATGGATTAGTGAAAGGTAGTAAGAATGGTACGCATGAGCACATTACGAGTGGCGGCATTAGGTTTGGAAATATTTTCCGAAAGCCTCCAAGGCTTCCTCCTCAGTTGCCGGCTCACATAAAAGGTGGTCGTGGTAACACTGGTCTTGATCATAGGAAGTTAAAGTCTGACTCGAAATGGATAGCTAGGCAACAAAATGTGAAGAAGGCGTTTATTCATGCGTGGTCGGGATATAAAAAGTATGCAATGGGTTATGATGAGTTGATGCCCGTGAGCAAGCGGGGGGTTGATGGGTTAGGTGGTCTAGGTGCAACTATTGTGGATGGCCTTGATACTGCGATGATAATGGGTGCTGACAAAGTTGTTTCTGAAGCTGGTTTATGGATTGAAACACACCTTTCAAATAAGATTAATCAGACGAGCCAAGTCAATTTATTTGAAACTACAATACGTGTTTTGGGTGGTCTTTTGAGTGCATATCATCTGAGTTCTGTGGAAAATGGGATGGGCTTGACACATAAAGGACCTAAGCCAGTTGTTTATCTAGAAACTGCTAAGAACTTGGCTGATCGTCTACTAGTTGGTTTTACTTCTAGTCCAACTGCCATTCCCTTTGGTGATGTTGTTCTTCGAGATCCCTCAGCGCATCCAGCTCCTGATGGTCGTAGTAGTACTTCAGAAGTGTCTAGTTTGCAGCTTGAGTTCAATTATTTAAGTTCAGTTTCTGGTGATCCAAAGTACACTGTGGAATCTATGAGGGTCTTGGAACACATAAAGACTCTACCTAGGGTGGAAGGACTGGTACCCATATTTATAAGGTATGAGTCTGAAATATTATTCTAATACTTGCATCATTATTCTTTTCAAGTTCTTAATTCTTGTTTATAAGTCTAGCGTCATGTTGACATTTTCCTTGTACTGAGGAGAGCTTTTCTGTGTCATTAACGCTGCAGAAAATGATTAATACTTTTCTCGAATGATGATAATCTTTTGCATATGTAGGTTGATTGAAACATTTATATAGTTGGGTCATGGAAATATAAATGTAGAGCTGGGAATATGTAAAGGATCCCCTATTTCTTATCTAAGAGCGAAACATATGTAAGAGTGTACTTCTTTGTTCTTTATGAGAATTGCTCAACTAGTTGATTTCATGTAGCCTACATATAACTGCAACATCAAATGGAATTTTGGATGTTTGACATAGACGTAATAGCTTCAGCATTAAAATTATCTCTTCGTCTTCTGTTTCTGGACAATGTGTAGTCAGCGTCTCATGTCTTATTGATTTTCTCTTTGTTTATTAATTTACCATCTATTTAATTGTTGACGTTGTCTCTGCAGCCCTAGAACTGGTGAGTTTAGTGGAGAAAATATAAGACTGGGATCTCGTGGTGACAGCTACTATGAATACCTACTGAAAGTTTGGCTTCAGAAAAATCGGGAAAGTAATTTTACATATCTCCATGATATGTATGAGGAAGCAATGAAGGGTGTCAGACACCTTCTTGTTCGGAAATCAATCCCGAATGGATTGGTTTTTGTAGGGGAATTGCCTTTCGGAGCTGATAGTTCTTTTAGTCCCAAAATGGATCACCTGGTATGTTATACTTCACAAATCTTTGGCATTTAGATAGCTTATAAGTTAACTAGCCTTTGTTATTTTTTGCTATAAGTTCTAAGTCTGAGAAGGAAAAGTTTGACTAGTTGGACATCATGTTGCTCCACATAGGGCGGTGACGTGTAGGTGGCATTGAATATACTTAATCATGGTTTTGACATCTAGCTTTGTGAATTGATTTGCTTATTGTGTTTAAGGATTCGTGTTGGGATTATATGTGAGAAAGCAATTCAATAACAATCTCTTTGTTTTCTACATTAGGAAACAAGAAGTGATAATTTAATTGCCCATTATTATCAGGAAACAGTCCACTAAAAATTGTGATAGTGAATTCTGTCCTCATCCTGCTCTGTGAAACCTTCTAACTTATTTAATTTAAACTGACTGTCAATATTTAACTTTATATTCTTTCTAGTTGTAAGTATTTTGCACAACCACAACATACATGTATGTTTAGCTTTTTGTGTATCCTGGAAAAGCACTTACCTGTCACTAGAATGATGATCATCATCCTTGCTCTTTCGGAAATGGGTCTTAATGTGACATTTCGTACTGCCTTTTGCAGGTATGTTTCTTGCCTGGCACTCTTGCACTCGGTGCCACGAAAGGCCTTACCAAGGAAAAAGCAATGAGAAATAATATGCTTAACTTTGAGGACCTGGAAAATTTGAAACTCGCGGAAGATCTGGCCAAAACATGCTTTGAAATGTATTCAGTAACCTCTACTGGTCTTGCTCCAGAAATTGCTTACTTCCATACAGAGGTTAGGTTTGGATCTACTTGAGCTATTAAGATACGTTAGTTTTTTTTTTTTTTTGGGTGTTTTTTAGCCTTTTCAACTTTCTACTCTCTATGTTCAATGGAGGGACTTGACAATTTCTCTTATTGAAGCAGGAATTTTCTGAAGGAGGTCTTGACGGTGGTAACAAGAGTTCTCAATATATGAATGACATAATCATCAAACCTGCTGATCGTCATAATCTCTTGCGTCCTGAAACTGTGGAATCATTGTTTGTATTGTACCGCATCACGGAAGATCCAAAGTATGCTTTTACTTTCTTTCTTATGCATCCATGAGTTTTATTCCCCCTTAAATAACACACGCATAGGTTGATATCCCCTCTTGGAGCACTTTTCACTTATATACTTGAACATTGCAGATATCGTGAATGGGGTTGGCAGATTTTCGAAGCATTTGAGAAATATACAAGGGTTGACACTGGTGGATACAGTTCTTTGGATGATGTAACTTCAGTTCCTCCTCATAAAAGAGACAAGATGGAGACGTTCTTTTTGGGCGAGACTCTGAAGTACTTGTACTTGCTGTTTGGAGATAGTTCTGTTATTCCATTGGATAAATTTGTTTTTAACACAGAAGCTCATCCTATTCCAATTGAAGGCACTGCCAAAAGGGGATAAAACTTTGTTGCATTAAAGCATCGATTCAAAGGAAGGAAAGTATGTATGGACAAATTATACGGTAGCAGGCGCAAACGTGCTTTTTCAGACTCACTGGTGTTTCATACTTGTTTATAGAGTATATCTGATTCCAGAAGACAGTAAATACCCTGCTTGAAGTCTTAGAGGCGGCTTAGTTCGTTTCTTTTCTTGTGCAACTCATCAGTGATTCTTCTACGTGATAAAGATACAAGACCTGGAGAAGAATGAGAAGATTGTAATATGTGTTCTTGCTATTTTACAATTTTGATTAATTACCTGACGGGGTTTACCCATTGAAAGTTTTAAGGGCCATATTCTGTGGTTCACTTTCTTACTTCTCCAGTAGTATTACTGGCTTCGGGGAACTAAAATGTTCAACTGGTGTAGTCACATCAAAATTTATGTTCCTATCTTATCATACATTGCCTAAAAGGTACAAGTTATCTTCACATCAATATAGTTGTACTTGAATGATATTAAGCCGCATCAGAATTCATATTATTATTGTCGTTGTGAAGAAGATACAGGTGATCACCATCTCGAACAACACTTATGTCATCTATTTCTGCATTTTCTTCATTAACGACTTTTGTAGGTTTGTATCCTCCGAACTTCTCACCTGCAATGTCATAGAGGGAGACCAACTATGCTGTTACGATATGTTTGATTCTGCTCAAGGTATGTGTTTAACATTCAATTTTGGCTTTAATCTGTTGAATGTTGTCTAATCTATAAGAACTTTAAATTTAGATTTGTCTAAATGTGTCTTTTTAGGTAAGAAAAAGAAAGCTTACCGGCAACTCTGAGTAGCTCTTCCATCGAATCAGGTAGGATAATTAACTTCGCAGGCTGCCTCTCCGATGCACTTCCATTTTGAAAATGCATGTGGATAGTTACTCTCCTGTTGATTGATCTCATCCGTTCTCCATCAGGGATAGAATTGCTCGGGTAGGACTTAATGGGTACTTTTCTCTGGTGAGAGTGGGAAAATTGGGCACCCTCTTGTCTTTTGGAATTTCCTTTACAATTCCTGGTTATTTCAGATGTTTCCGGTTCAATAAACTCTATTCTATGTTCATCTGTTCTCCTCCTATTCTCATATATTCGTAAAAGGTCAGTTATGCTCTTGTTTCCTTGCTGTTGTGCTAGATCTTTCGGCTTCCATCCTCTAGCATCTGGTTTGTTTACATTTGCTCCTCCTTCAACCAAAATTTTGACCATTTCCATATGTCCCTGACGAACAGCAGTGTGAAGAGCCGTTTGGCCATCCTCAGCCATCATGCTGACATCCATTGCACATCTCGTTGAAATATCAGATCTGCCTATTTCGCTCTTTTTTGTAGCCTCTGAACCTGTAAACAAGTCGTTCCTTGCTTCCTCCATTGATGTTTCTTGAGGTGAGTTGTCTTTGCATCCAGCGCAAGAACAGCATCCTTCGGTATGTGGATATTCACAGCCCAACCCTTCTTGTTCCTTCAGTTTCTGTAAAGTAGAGTACAGAATATCAGTCTTTGGAAGAGAAGGGTGGTGTGCATGACTGCATGTACATTTTTTCGAAAACAATTTTGTTCGGTACCAGAAAAATGTTGTTCATGATAATTTGCTCGTCGTCCTTATTTGCTTCTATGGTGGTCATGAGTGAACTTCTGCGGATTCGTAATATCTGGGAAAGTTCGGTTGTCCGAACGGTGAAGGGCTGTGGCCTATGACATAATACTCCGATTTCTCCCAAAGTATCCCCCGCAGTTGCCTTTCGTATAAACTGTTTAGAGAAGTCAAGTCAGATATTAACTCCTACCTGTACTCCGATTTCACAGAGCATTGAAATGTTTAATAGTAAGAAGCTGGTTCGCATTTGCGGGATGTCAGAGCCAGCCAACCGAGAGTGTATTTTCGGTCAACGGGCCTCTCACATCCCGCAAATGGGATCCCGTTTTTGGAAGGGTCTGTTTACGTATATGTATGCGTGACTTACTTGAGCTTGCCCATCAACATTGGACACCAGATCCTGCAACCATGAATTTTTCCAATTGAACTCCATGTCAGAAAGCGTTTTTAAGAATGTTAGGAGATTATGTAAGAGGTAAGAGTTAAGCCGGCTCACCGCTGCACCGGAAACCAGTATGTAAAGATCGGTCGGAGCCTCGTTTTGCAGAATTACATCTTCCTTGGGTGGAAAATACTCTGCATCTATTTCTGAAACCTTAATAAGAGAATACATAGTTTTAGCATCTTGTGATAAGCCAAAAATGGTCTGAAAAATCTAAATCCTTGTTAAATTGTCATAAGAAACATGATCACTTTATAAAGGGTATTTTTATCAAACCAACGCTCCACTCAAAGAGGATATTGACAAATTTTTCATTAATGAAGCCTTGTGCTATGAACGCATAAGCAGGTAAAGAGTACATGTGTGGGCAAACTTAAAAACCACTTCTATCGATTTTCAATTTTAAGGATCAAAGCAAGTAGTTATACTAATCTCAAGAATCATTGTAACTAAAAAGCCGATAAACAATAAAATGTGTAGACACACTATTGTCAACAAACTATCTAATACAGTTGAGCCCTATCATCGAGACCCACTTCTATTAGTGAGAGTGTCGGCGATGTGGTCCGTTTTGTATCTGAATAACGTTACTCAGTGAGAATAATTATAAGTCAATTTGATGATTTTACCAATTGAAAGAGGAAATCATAAGAAACTCCTTGAAAGAGGTAGATGCTTTGAACGACGGGGAAGAAGAGATGTTGGGCAATGCTGGAACGAAGGGCTTTCGGGAGACCATTTAAGGTCTCTTGCTGTTTCAGTCCTTCTGTCTTAAACTTGAGGCATATGTGTGACAACATCTGGTCTTGAATCGTTGGGGGCAAGTCGTTTCTTGCTGCAAATTCTGATGCAGCTCTCACTGTGTCCCTCTATCAACACCAAAACCAAAGAAAACACAATTAATATAGGTGTATTATGGGTAGAAACTAGTAGCGTTTTGTCTTGGTGCGGAAAGATTTTGCCTTATCGCTGAGGTTATACGCTCATGCAAGTATCTCACATTCCTTAACAGCTCACCATTGATCCACCAGCCGTCTGGGTTCCACCCGACCGCAGTGGAGAAGTTTCAGTGAGTTATGTCCATCAATGAATAGATAACCGATGAGTGGGAAAAGAATTAGATCCCCCTCAAGAGAATAGAGATAGTGAGACACTCACATGGGTGTATATCACGGGTGACACCCAAGATTTTTTCTTTCGGTTTGAGTAATATATGAAAACTAGAGGTGTATATTTGTCCCATGGAGATTGGGGACATATGACTATTAATAACTAATATTTTTTATGATTTAGGTTAGGGTTTGAAGAAACACTTTCAAAACGTGGGGTAGCAAGAGAGGATACAAAGGAAACATTTCCAAGTCTTTCTGCAGGCAATATATGGCCATGGGGACCTTTTTCTAGAACTTTGATTGCGACTGGGGGTTTATTTTGGTCCATTCAGAAGTAGAAACCTCCCCCGGAAGCTACTGATCTATTTATTTGCTGTACTAAAAACTAAAGAGCCGAAAGGAGGAGGACTAAAACTTACAAAGATTCTGGTTCTGCTGGTCCAGTGAACTACAAGATTTGTCATGTTTCCAATGAGGTAAGATGTCAATCCCAAGTTGAAGAGCATGTAGAAAATATCAAACAGCATCTCTCTAGGGTTCTCAGCATGCAGATCTCCATAGCCAGTGGTGGTTAGCGTTGTGATTGACCAGTACATTGAAGTAACATATCTGTTCCAGAGACTATCTTGTTTGAAATCCGGGTACACAGCGCCGATCCATGTTCTTTTCGGGTCAGGATACCGATCTGCGATCAGATAGTTGAAGCATCCTGCGCAGTGCACTGCGAAAAGGGTAACCTGAAATTTGACAGGACACAAGTTTTGATGCCACCCAAGTTCGAATTGGTGAAGAGAAAAATGACAAGAATTGTGATACACTTATGGGGTTTTTCGGGGCTTACAGAAATGAGCTTCGTGCAGCGAATCCAGAAGTAGTTGAATCGGATGTCCTTCTCCAGTCTGAAGTCAGCAGAAATCGGTTTGTAAGTGTGTGTGTGTGTATTCTGATAGTTTTATGACAATTGGAAAGTTTGGACAAAAAACAAAGGCGAAGGAAGATGGACCTTGCAAAGAGGGAGCTGACTCGTCGGAGGCGCCAGAGGCGGAGCATATTGAGTACTTTAAACTCAAGTTCGCTGCCGTGATTTGTCAAGAGGAGGCTAATAGACTGAAATGGTGCAGTGGAACACACGTCGAAAAGAAACCAGGTTGATAAGTACCTGTTTGGTTGTATTGTGTGAAATAAAAAAGGGTTATTTCTTGCACAGAAATCAAAACATATATGTTGGATGTTTTGAACCAGAATGAAGCCTTTTACGCACCTCATTGCGATTTGCTTTGGATTGTCAACAAGAAGGTAAGAGCGGCTGTCGAGATAGGCAACAAAGAAAGTGAGAATGATGTCAATGCCAAAGAAGCCGTTGACAATGTTGTCAATGACGAAAAGAGCATCCCGCTTGTAAGGCAGAAATGCAAACTCAAATGGGCAAATCCACGCTGAGTAGATGACTAGAAGAACAAGTAGCATCCCCCAAGCCCTGAAAAATGAGGATCACATAAAGGGCATGAATTGATGAGTTGTAGAAGTTTTACTAACAGTTAACCTTGGAATAGCAGTGTGGCAAGGCAAGATGATCATCACCTGTAACGAGGATTATATGGCGATATAATGTATTTCCTGAGCTTAGTAGACTGGTTGATTCTGGCTCCAAGGGAAGGCAGAAGATCAGTAGAGAAGAAGCTGCTCTGAGCAACAGTGTCCATTTGGTATTCATCAATACAGAACCTCCGGAAGAAGTTTTTCGTGCATGAAAACGTCATTTTTTTCTTTGTTCGAGAAAAGGGTTTTCGCTAACTAGCTAGCTACAAGATTTTTGAGGTTGGTAAAAGTCTTGTGAGAAAAGAGTTATTAATAATAGTAAGGACACTTGTCTCTGCAGCTTCCCTTGTTGCTTTTCGGGTAGTTTCGCCGTTCATACTTGTGACTTATCTGCTTTTAAACGAATATGCTGGAAGCTTAAGTTGTGCAGGTAGTTACGGATGGAAAAGGGAGTAGGGAACAAAAGGAGAGGTAAAGGATGGAAGAGAGAAACGTGAACACGAAACGAACAAGTTGAGAGGGGGTTGGGGAAGTGGCAGACATGAGCAGCTTAATTTGTGTAATGCTGCTGCAGCTGCAGATATGTTCTGGAGTGAGTGAGAGAAGCAGAGAAGATGGTAATGGTGGTTCTTGTTGTATAAAGGTGGGGGTGGTGGGAGCTCCATCATTGATACATGTGAAGTTGTGCTCCAAGAGGATGCTCAGCAAGGAGCGATTTTAAGCATGTTATGACATCGGTGCATTTTTGGTTTTCGGTTTTACATTTCAAACTGTTAGAAATGTGAGAAAAGTTTGGTGAGGTTGTTCCTACCACGTGACAATATAAAGTTGTAAAAAAAGTCTAGTTAAAAGATAACATGTGTTTAAGTTTTGTGATATATATTCACTCTACGCTATTACTAAAGAATAGTCCCACATAAGTTTTCTTGGGAATGTTTTAACTCAATTCACATATTCCACGTGGACCAATAGGAGATTTTTTTAAGAGGTGGTTAAACAATCCAAGAAACAAAAACTCAAATTTTCTTTTTAACTAGATCATGATTATTCAGCTCCTTTCATATTCAATAGTAAGAGGCTAAGAGTGAGATTGTTTGTATATGGAACTCAATCAGAACCATAAAAGTGAAATGGATTGGTGCCATATATCCATATTCCCCTATATCTCTCTTTCTTTCTTTCTTCCTTTCTTTCTAGTCTATACTTTGATTTTGACCCGTTTGTAGTTGCATGGCCCAAATTTTTTTCAGCACTACACGATTTCACCGCCTAATTGTTGCATGGGTTTCTTTAAAAAGAAAAATTGTTTCATGTTTGTGGTCTGCATGTTGATCATTATACATACAGATGATCATGGCTTAATTAATTGAAAAGGGTTTTATTGGATGGTCAGGATCAGTTAATCTAGAATAATGCTAATTTCCCATCTGGAAACCTCCAATCATGCAATGCAGATCTGCTGCCTCCATGAGATCTTAGTGCATGAAATTTGTGCCCCTGATGCACAATGTGGCATATGGGATGTTGGTTTTGTTTTTATCCTGGAAAGCATGACTGGCTGTCAACAACAAAGTTGAAGAGGCAACATATTTTTCAATCAAAATTATTCCACGCTATTTACTTGGCTGCAATTATTAATAAACTGCTACTGCTAATATGCTGAATTAGCCTTATCTTTTCTCCAAAAAGCTTAGTTACAGAATCGATCTACAAAAAGAAAGTCCGCACATATAGTAAAAATAACAGTCTGGAGCAATAACAATCAGTATACATGGGTTATTTTTCTTTAAAATGGGGATTTAACTGTTTTAGGTGTATGTAGGATTTCGGTCTTTTGCAAAGAGTATGTGCGAAGAACCCTATTTTTTTGGATCAAAATAACTATAGAATTGAATATGAAAGATGGGGATGTTTCTCATTTTCAATGAGTTTTGTCATCAGCTTTAGCAGATAAGTAAGCAATAATTAGACGAATACAAAACGAGTATAATCCGTGTCATTGGTTTAGTGATGATGTGATTAATAATTTAATAGGCATGAAAGACCACCTGGTGTGTTTGCAGTACTAAGCCAACCTTGTAGTTGAAAGGGCAACATCAACATTAAGGCACGTGCACCACGTGCGTGTTTGGGTATGATTAGGCAGAAACCCTAACACTCTTCCATTGTTAGTGACTATGTCGAGCAATTTACTTATATATGCAATTATAGGACTCTCTCTCCTGATTGGACATCCTTATTTCTTGGGAAGGCCTCCATGAAAAGGACTATGTGTGTTTGTATGTGTGTGTGTGTGTGTGTGTGTGTGTGTGTGTGTGTGTGTGTGTGTGTATGCTTCTTTCCTCATTGAACCTCCTTAATTATTAGGTGGACTGTGCCAAAAATTTCAAAACACCATGTGAGGTATGATGGAGTTAAGGAAGACAATCCTTAACACCCAAATATCATTATATGTTAGATTAAGCTCTAGGGTTAGCTCAAATGAGGGTCGTCAGAAGAAAATAAGTTAGGATCTGGCTAGATTAAGGGTTCATTTTTCTTTCATTGTTGAAGATTTCCACCATATATGAATATGAATGGTTGTATATGCATGTGAAATGAAAGCTAAAAAGTGTCATGTGACCATATCACATAACAAGTTTGAACATTTTTTGGTACCACTCATGCGCTTCATGGACCATGAAGCACAAATCATAGCGTTGGAAAAAAACTGGAGGAAATAAATAAAAAGAAAGCAAAAGGAGAGAAAGAAGTTGGTTCTTCCCGTGATGGTTAGGAGGCCACGGGCAATGGCCAAAATGGTGGGCAAATTCAGGTGGTCCAATGCATATGTAAAAAGGATGGGTCATCATAAGATTGCTAATACTTCTCCATCATGTGGTCCTTGAAAAAGTAGTGTTATGGGACTTTCCAGCATTATACCCGATTAAGCGCCTAATATACAAACTAATGGTGTTGAATGTTGATTATGATGTTTACACATACATATATGTTGTTTTGCAAGAGTATTGTCTTACAATCTACACATTTTATGTCTTAAGATTTCAGAGAGATACGTGGGCACAATAGTTAAATTCCACATCAGTTATTTAAGTAGCACATGAATACCACGTATTGAAAAACTAAATAGACCCAGTAATTAGAGTTCATGTAAGCAACTTGTTCTAACACCATTCATGTTCATATTTTAGGAAGGGACCATCAGCCCACTACTATTCACATCAATATTTCATGTTCATATTGTAGAAAGTGACCATCAGTCCACTTACTGTTCACTATTTCATGTTCATATTAATCATTCAACTAGTTAACTAAAATCTTAAACCCTAAACCGTAAACTCCAGATTATTTTAATTTTATGATCTCCCCGGCCTTGAAGTTGCTGTGTTTGGATCGTCCAAATCATTAATTAGGAGCTAGCCGCCATCATCATCTACAATAATAGAGAATCTAAGTCTTCAATTTCTGCAGATTGTGGATATGATGATTGCAGTCTTGGAAATGGTCATGCATGTTGACTAGAACACCAATGTTGATTGAATCAAATACCTAAATGTTTGGAACTTATGAAAGATTCTTTGAAAGGAATATTTGCTGGTTTAGTTTGCATGCATAGAGTTGAAATCGTAAAGTTGTCCAGATTAAATTAATTTATTAGGTTAAGATGCCTACGGAATGGATCAAGTTCCTTTCCTAATTAGGCACTTTAAACAAAAGATCATTCAGATAAAAAAATAAAAAAAATAAAAACAAAAACAAAAGATCATAGCTAGCTTTTTGCCTTAGTTTAGAGAATAAAAGAGAGATCCTAAAACCTAACTTGCTTAATTCGTAGAGCACACGAGTTTCCAAATGTGGGTCAAATATCATGCACTCCCTATTAGAAGTTGATAATACCTCTCCCATCCCCAATTTAGTAATTTTTTGGTGTACCAAACCTTAGTCATTAGACTCATTATAGTATCCACCTTCCCCAACGAGACCAAAGGTCAAACCATATTTCTCCTCTTTCAACCTAATTAACTCGTGATCTTTCCATCTTAATATTATATATATATATATATATATATATATGTATGTCCTCCATTATTATTTTTTAAGCCCATATACAGAGATGAATTCAACTACAAATTTAAAAGAGTTTATAAATTCATATGTATTCAATTAAGATTTTAAATGAATTCATGGAAGGTCATGGTATTCAATCAAGATTTTAAAAATTAATATTTTAAAAGAGCCTATAAAACTTTATGGAAATCTGAGTGTATTCATTCCGAGTTTTAAAGTAATTCATAAAACTTCATATGTATTCAATTACGATTGGATTTTGAAGTATTTAAAATTTGAAGGATTTTAATGGATTTAGAAAGATTTAATAGTGTTTTTTAGGCTTTAAGAAATCAAGCCCCAACCCTTACGATTTCTAATGATTTCACCCAAAATTTATATGAAGTGTATGGAACTCCATTAAACTCCATAAATTTACGAATCTTCCACAATCTCATTTGAATACAAATTATTCAACCCCCTAAAAGTATGACTTTCATTTTTTTAATTCCAAACATGTGTTTTTTTTTATAGGTCTCTTGATATTAAGGACTATTAATTCAATTTCAAACAGTTAACAACATTTAATTCTGCACTTGAAATTATGTGTTAAATTCCACTCTTTCCCTTATTCGCTTGTCAACTTCATTGAATTCACCGCATTGATCACATTAGCTTTATCGTGCAGTCACCTAACTTGGTGATGGGATAAAGTTGTACATAGATGATTGCTATATCCCAAAAGATTAGTTGCAACATTATATATATGTAGGTGATTCATTATGTATGTAGGTGTAAGATTAAGCCAAACAATGAGCATAAGAATACGAACATTCACATACATTTGTATAATCATGTTTATGTTTGCGCATGCGCACATACACACCATATTTATAATATTGTATGAATGTATGCATGCATGCATAAGTTAAGAGTTGTAGAGTTTGTTGGCAGCTACTTGCATCTTGTAGATGTAGTGAAAATGATATAGAAATGTTCCTCACCACTTAAAGTGATTGACCAGCGTATCCCATTAACTAGTTTATTATCAGGACGTACGCTATCGGGGACCAAACAGAAGCAAACTGATCACACTGCCGTGAAGCAGCAGAGCAGAGCAGAGCATGCATGATGGATGATGCTTCAACTTCTAAAAGTTTATGCAAACTCATCGATCACGGACAGTTCTTTTAAATGTGGCTTCTTTGTTACTCAACTAGATTGATCTCCTCTGTGAGAACCTATCATTTCATGGTCCACATTTTGGTTATTAATGGTTGAGATTTCGTACTTATCTACTTATCCCTTTACTATAGGAGTAGGATATGTATCATCAGTGTATATAAATGGACTAGTTACAGTGGATTATATATATATATATATATTCGATTCCCAGAACCCTAATGGAATATGGAATAGTGCCAAATGTACATGATTAGGAAGCTCAACAGATGTTTAGAAGGGAAGAGAATGGCATGTTTGAGGTTGATATGTGTATTAAAAGGGAATGTTTTTGGTAGCATGGACAGATTGGAATGGCAATTTTGAGTTTGAGCTGTTGAAATTGGGTTTTTTTTTTACTTTGGAAACCATGCATGTATATATATATGCATGCTTTTGTTAACTAATGAATTGAAGTTGACATATTATATACAGAATAGATGCTTTGGCGCAGTTGTTGTATAGTTGAGTAAGCCAGTTTGCCAGCATGTGTGTGTACACAAAACAAACAAACAAAAACAAAGCAATCAACTATTTGGCATCTCAATTT